AGTCAAAGGTCAAATTGAATAAATGTAAAGAAAAAGGTTAACTTCGGCTGCATCGAAGCTATAATGCCCTTCCCGGGTGAATTTTTTATAACATAAAATGGTATTAAAATATCTTTATCTTGATATTGATCAGCCAGTTGTACAGCTGTATGCTCTAGTGGTCCAAGCTGAACATTATGTTCGGAGATTGTAGCGTTGTCTTTGACAATAATCTAGGCCAAATTTCATAAGAACATCTTGTCAAGTAAACAAATTCTCCACACAAGGACTTGATTTTGATTTCGTGAAGATATGTTCTCAAATAAAAAATTTTTCATACAAGGACTTAATATTGATAGGCAGCTATATGCTATAGATGTTCGAACTCAACTATTTCTTCGGAGATTGTAGCCTTGCTTCGAACAATAATCAATGCCAAATTTCGTAAAATAATTTTTTTTTAAATAAAAAAGTTTTTCGTCCAAAAACTTGATTTTGATTGGTGAATTTGTATGGCAGCTATATTCAAGAGTGGTCCGATATCGGCGAGTCCAACAATTGAGCAGCTAAAAACTGAGGAAGTAGTTCGCGTAGATACAAGCAGATAGACAGACATGGCTAAATCAACTTCGTGGCAAACTTAATATAATATACCCTATTCAGGGTACAAAATTATGTCCACATATGAACCGATATACATATGCATATATATGGACGAGTGTGAGCAGGAAGGACGGAAAGCCTTACATTCGCGATATGCTACCACAACTTATATTATTAGCATTAAAGGTTTTATTTAGCACAGTTAGAATGAACGGATTTAGGTAAAATATCACCGTTAATTTTTTCTGTGTAAAAAGGTATTTTAGCCCATAATTTCGATAGGTTAGTTTTAAGCTCACCCTAATATACATACATCAAATCTAATATGTTAATATTTATATTTTCATATTCAGGTCTATATTCATTTGTCTGCTCACACCTACATAAATATGTATATTCACTATATGCACACCTTATAAAAAATTAATTCCATCCTCATTTAAATATTTCTGCTCACATTTTTATATTCAACTTCCTCTCTACATTCTTATTTTATTATATTCATATTCAAAAATATTTTTATAATACATTCATATTCATTTACTGTACATATGTACTCATTTTCATATAAACGTATCCTCATTATACATATGTATATATCTAGTACAGTTTGGTCTACGTGATCATAATGGTACCAGATTTATATTCAACGAAGGTGACTACTTAGCAGAATTTCGAAAAAAATTTATTTATATAAATTTATCCTGCTATAACAACAACAACGTTTATAATTTATTTACTAATTTTTATTTTCAGCATTTCATTTCTTTTAATGCCTCCATACTAAGACTTTTACATTTAAGTTTTATATGAAACCTACTTAAATATTAATGTAAATTGTAATTTTAATTGCAAGTCTACTAGCATCAAGCAAAGCTGAAGTCTACTAACATTTTATATGGACAATTTGCTACAATCTGTGGCGTGCTCAATGCCATTGCGCCCAAGTATCCTGCTGTCAACTGTCGCTGCAAAAGTTTTAATGCAGCTGGAAAGCATAAAAATTGCATTTCTATTTTATTATGTGGCAAAATTTGCTTTTTTATCAACCGTCGCTATCAACTGGCTGTGATTTTTACAAACAGAATGCAATTAAAATGTCAACCGCGTAAAAAATGCTGATGCGACGCTGGCACGGCAGCCATTAACCAACAAGTGCGCGGTCGCGGGCGGCAAAGAAGTCACCCATTATATTTAGTGCAATGTCAGTGGGTATATGCAATTCAAAGCATTCAAAAAATTACAACAACAAATATCAGATAGAGTTGAAAAAATAGACGTTTTCGAAAGCGCATAAAAGACTGGATACCAAATGGCGAAAAATATTTAAATCGTTCGGTGTAATCTCACTGATGATGGGTAAGTGCATGTTGCTCCGCACTATGAGTTATTCCGAGTGGCTATCAGACGTCGGGTCGCCTGTACGTGGCGAACTCTTTAATTAATCCTTTTAATGGCAGCAAATGGCCAGTTTTGCAGTTGAAATAAAAGCAAAGAAATAAAAGCATTAAATAAAATGAAAGAAGGCAAAAAAGTTTAAATATAAACGAACTCATAAAAATCATTAAAAACTTAAAACTTATTCATCATTTTTTATAACCTCAACAGGATATATCAATTTCGCCACGAAGTTTGTAACACCCAGAAGAAAACGTCGAAAATCCTTTAAAATATATATGTGTGTAAATCATTGAGTTGACGATCGGAGGCGTTATATCCATACGCGGACTAGTACCTCAGTTTTTGAGTTATCAAAGTGAAATTATGCACAAGTTCTTTTCTCAACAAGAAGCTGCTCTTTAGTCGGAACGTTCAAAATTTAGTTCTTGTATGGAAAACTTTTTTATTTGATAAAATAACTTTCCGAAATTTAGCAGGGATTATGGCTCAAGGCAACGCTACAATCTCCGAACAAATTGTTCAGATCGGAAAGCTATAGCGTGTAGCTGAACGAGTTTGTTCTTGTATGGAAAACTTTTTTTTTTTTTGAAGGGTATAATAGCTTCGGTGCAACTGAAGTTAACGTTTTTTCTTGTTTTTTTTTTTAACTGTTTGCACATTTTAGCGCATTAATTCGCTTACATTTGCTAATGCGCCACTGTCAGCCATAAAACTATTTAGTAATCCTTGACTTAATGTCAAGCGCTGGAGTTGGCGCTAGGCAAAAAGTTGATGCCGCGCAGGAGTGGCGATTAATTGCGTCGAGCAAGTATACTAAAGGTCCAGTACATAAATTAGATAACATAAGGAGTGAGAGAGGAAGAGAGGGGGAGCTTAACTTTTGCTGGCCGGCATACAGTTAGTATTTTTTTATATTTCCACTAAATAGCAGCTAATAAATGGAAGCGCTGGCACTAGTATATAACTAATTTGAGTCAGGGGCAGATGCATTGGCATGCATTTATACGAAATTGAGTTTGTGCGTGCCTAATGCAAAGTTTCCGCAACGGTAAGATAACAAACTTTTTTAAATATACGTATGTACGTATATAAATACTTATATAATTTAGAGCGATTTCGCTTTGTTTTCAGCGCGAGTTTTTAATATAGTTTTGTACTTCTTTTTGTTGTTGGTATAATTTTTTTAGCGCTTGCTGCTCTACGTCTTTCATGTCTTTAATTTGTTTTGCAAAGTCTGTCGACATTTTTCCTAACCTCGCTCCGGTATTCACCAGCATTTTTTGCACCCACCATTTCGCGCTTTTATAAATTTTGCTTTCATTTTTAACAAAAAGAGAAACCTATTCAAATCGGTGTAGGGAGAATTCTTTTCTTGATACTAATGAATCTCTGGCCATTTGGCTAACGGTGACGGTGTGTAGAATGCTCTGCAAAAACTTTTTCCAAGCATCTTTGCTAAAGCCTAAAAGCGAAATGCGGCGCTGCTTTTAGCCCTCATTTTTTGCCCATTTTCCAAGGTCTTAACTTGGTTGGCCATTACATTATTTTATTATTTTCTTTTATGCTGCACAAAGGCGCAAATTTTCATGCACTTCTTCAAGTACTTCTCATTCGCTTTCTACTCTTTCTGCGCGTTTTTGTTAGCAATTGGGGCTAATGATTTGAATGACCAGTTATGGGGCTTTTATTATTTTGTTAAATTTAAAGCGAAGTTAAAATGCAGTTAACAGACATATTTATTATAATTTTTTTTTTTTTTTTGGCATTTAATTGCAATTATTTACTTCCTTTTGTGTGTGTACTTAAGTAATTGTGCGGTAAATCGAGGGTTGCAGCTGTATGGAGTGCACAAATGGCCGGAGGGGACTATTTAATATAATTTATGCTTACTATTGTGCAAAAGTAATATAATTAAATAGTCTGAAGTTGTGTGTTTACGACTTTTAAAACGAACATTTAAATTTCCTTTTAAAATTTTAAATGTATTTTAGAACTTTAGAAAATACATAATTTGTATAGCCATCGAAAGAAAATAAGTACACATACAATAAAAAGAACAGAGTTAGAATGATAAAGAAAAAACGTAGCGTCGAAGCTATAATATTCTTCACAAATAAAAAAGTTTCAATATAAGAATCATTCATTTATCGTTCAGTTTGGTAGCTATATGCTGAAATGGTACGATTGAAAAAAAAATAAGCGGAGATTGTAGCGTTGACAATAATCCATGCCAAATTTCGTGATGATATCTCGTCAAATGAAATAGTTTTTCTTATCAAAACTTGACCTTGATCGTTCGGTTTGTGTGGCAGCTACATGCTGTAGGTGTCCATCTGTAAATTTTAATCCAAGATTGTAGCATTATTTTGGACAATAATCTATGACGAATTCTGAAAAGATATCTTGTCAAATAAAAAAATACCGTTACCTTGAATATATATCTAATTTTGTAAGGATATCTTGTTAAATAAAAAAGTTTTCCATACCTGAACTTGAATTTAATTGTTCTGTTTGTATGACAGCTATTTGCTATACTCGTCCGCTAACCACGTTTTCGACAAATTAGCAGCTTTTTGTGAAGAAACGAGCATTTGCAAAATTTCAGATCGATATCTCAAAAACTTAGGGACTAGTTTGCGTATATGCAGACAGACGGACAGCGCTAAATCGACTCAGTTCATTACGCAAATAACTTATAGTCTTTTATGGTCTCCGTCCTTTTCTACTGCTTATTACAAACTTTGTGGCAAACTTAATACACACTTGCGCAAGGTATAAACTGTACATTTATAGACATATGGACAAAACCTCTTAACAAGATTTCGTAAAAATTTGCCTAGCAACACAAAATCACTTTGAAACTTGCATTTAACAGCTGTTATTTATAGTTCATTGGTTTCTAAACTCGTTCCTATCATGCATTCGTACCGCTTTCAGCTGCAAGGACATTCACTTCATCCCCAATTCACGCGCATACGTACACAACGCCAAAAAGACACTAACATGCGAATACTTACGATTTCTAATCTCTTTTTAAATATGCCATATAGTGGTATCCAAATTTTGTCTTGAGTAAAGGCACCCTTGTAGCCTTGTGAAATTTCAATCAATTCCATGAAAACTTTACGACTGTGGAAATCTTTTGGTGGTCCTTCGCGATACAGCAACAATGTGGGATTTGTTAAGATGACCATTAGACGCACAAGCGCATCTGTATATTCCGGATCATGCACATAATCATGCAACATATGCACTAAATCAGTTTGTAACACTTTTGCATGGCCCAAGTGACGGCGATATTCATGGTTTTCCAAATCGCGTCGCAAAATCCATATTAAATGCTGCAAATTGGAACAATTTTACTTGTAATATAAACATAAATAAGCGCAAACTACATACCCGTAGGCCTTGCAATGCGTCCGGCTCGGCCAGATAGCGTTCGTTATCATAATAGCCAAGCGCCGCGCAAGTGGCATCGATATCCGCAAGTAAAATCGACATTACGTTAAAAACGAATAAACGATTAACACTTTATTTACACTACTAAGTATTTTAATATATCACTATTACCGAACCGCGCTACCGAACACGAAAATATTTAGTTAAATATTTGGCAATTGTTTTGATAAATATAAACAAACTCAAATTCGCACGTGAACTGACAGATGTGCGCGCCAGCTTCGCAAACTCAGTGAACAGCTGATCGTACCGCCTTGCCACTTGTTGAATGCAACTATTTTAGTGTGTTGAGTAATTTCGGTGTTGGTGTAAAACGATATGTGTGGTCGTAATTTAAGAACGTAAATGAGATCGTATTAGCTCTTTGTTGAGATCGTTGAGAGAGTCCAGGAGATCACGAAATTTCTTGTTTTATCGCTGTTATTATTTTTCAAAGATATAAATTTTCTTAGGATTGTACTATTAAATTGTGTTTTTCATAAATTGAATTCCAATTTTAAGTTAAAAAAAAGAAAGAATTGTTAATATACTAAAACCGACACGATATCTCTTCAAATTCAAAACTTTGTCGGAACTAATAATTACCCTGTCTTGCTAAGGAGGTGGCGTGCCCAAATGTGAGAAAAATGTTTCTCAGCGTATAAATAACTCTCCTACTTAACCACCTACTTTACACAAGCCCATCCCTGCTTATAGGTATATTCACATTTTTACCCAAACTAACATAAGTAACTAGTCCTTTAAATTTGCTCATTTGAAACCGAAACTATTTTAACCACCACAAGCAGTGTTGTTGTCTTTGCGGTAGAAAAAACTCTACAAAGAAAAAATGTGTGTCCGTTTCGGTCACATAGAGCTGAATAGCATAGGAACAATCAGCTCCTGTTATCTTTCTTCTTAGTAATTCCAAGTTGAATGTTCTTTTGAAAGGATTTTTAAGGTCTAGCTCCGCCTGTTGTTTGGCGAATTAGATATGAAATACCAATATTTGTTTTCGGGTCAAACTAACTCCGAACATAAATGAGTAATAAAGAAAAATAAATTGACTGAACAAAACAGCATGCCAAAAGTGGTTTTCACCATTCAAAAGACTTTGGCTTAGAAGACGATGAAAGTCCTGGAGGGCAAAAAAGGGTTTAAAGATTACGAACCAGAAGTTTTACTCGGTTAGGATTGTTGCCAAACACAAGAAGAGCTCGCAAAAACTTTAAGAGTGAGTTCGAGATGAATTGAAGCCAAGAGGCCTTAAAAGACGATTTTACATGTCAGAAATGCTGCTTGAACGCTACAAAAACAAGTCGTTTTGCATGATGAAAAATGATTCCATGACAACAGGCCTAAACGCCACAAATCATAATTGAAATCTGGCCAACCTGTCAAATGATGGGCAAAGCCGAATATCCTTGATAACAAGTTAACGCACAGAGCATTGGCATGAGCTAGCTGGAAACAGCAGTTAGGAAGTTTTGACTCACCCGCCAAACCGGCGCCGTTCTTTTGGGATGTAATTCACAAATTGCAAGATTTTAAATTTTCAAGTTTTGGAAAAAGAACATCTAGAAAGATTAAGATCCATTTAGTTTCCATACTTGTTATAGGACTTGGCCAGGAAGTATTTTAGCAAGTTTTTCGTATGAGATATTTGATTTACGGAATCGTTAAAATTAGGGAGAGCCCCTCTAGTGAAGTTTGTCAGTGAGGACCATTTACCTTTTATTTTTATACTCTCGCAACCTGTTGTTACAGAGTATAATAGTTTTGTTCACCTAACGGTTATTTGTATCACCTAAAACTAAGTCAGTTATAGGGTTATATATATACAAATGATCAGGACGAAAATACGAGTTGAAATCCGGGTGGATCTCTGTCCGTCCGTCCGTCCGTGGAAGCTGTAACTTTTGTTTTTAAAGTGAGCGTGGTGCCGCGCCCTAATAGGCTTAATGTGCATATCTCCTAAACCGCTTAGGCTATAATAACCCATTTCACTGAGCGCAATTGCTTTTAGCAGCATTATCGACAGTATGAAAATGGGTGAAATCGGGTGACAATCCCGCCCACTCTATCGGTAGCGCGATAAATCAAGCACTAAACACGCCAGAGACATTAAATTTTATCTCTAGGATGGTATGAGATGACTTTATAGGAACCGATTCAAAATTAGACAGTGAGCGTGCCACCGGCCACTTGTAGGTGAAAACCCATATCTTGGGATCTGCTTAACCGATTTCAACCAATTTTGTTACGTAACATTCTTCTCATATTTCTATGTTATAATGCGCATATGGGCGAAATCGGATTACAACTACACCTATTTCCCATATAACACCATTTTAAATTCCATCTGTGTTTTCACTTTTCACTATGCAAATGGGGTAAAGCTTTGCGTGAATAATACGTTTTAATTATGCCACTTTGTGACCAAAAATTATCTAAATCGAACCAAAACTGTTCAAGTCCCTAGGTACTGAATATGTGGACTCCAGTGCCTATAGTTGACTTTTTATCGAAAATATCGGTCAATGTGTAAGATATATAATTGAAATTCATATAATAAAATAAATAAATTAAACCCTCGATAATAGTATGATTTTGTGCTTTTTAATATACAATTTTGCTAACAACTGACATAATTTCAGTTGCAAGTTGCGAGAGTATGAAATGTTCGGTTACAGCCGAACTTAGAACTTCCTTAGTTATTTTACTTCTCGTTGATGATTTTTTTTTTTCAAAAAATTAGGTTTGGTAGTAGTTATTCAATTGGAAATATAAAATTCCATAGAAAAAATATTCAGTGAGGCTTATTTCATTATAAGCAAATACTCGTAAGTGCCGTTGTAGGTTAGAAGACCAACGTAGCACACATTTTTTTTTTTGATTTTAAATATGTTAAATAAAAGTATTCTTTAGATCATGACTTTTCATTATGATTACTACAAAAGCCAAAACTTGGTATATGCACCCATAAAGAGATAGATAAAGTTGGATCCCCTTTTTTGCAAACACCAACTTGTATGTAAATGTACATAAAAGCAAAATTTTTATGGAATTTCTTCCATTTAATTTTCAGACAGATACGTATGTATAAGAACGTATGCACATTACCATGCATGTAATTTCGAAATGTCCGAGTGACTTACTGAAATTATGCAATCGACCTTGTGTATGCTGGAATTTTCAGCCCGATTGGACTTATAGACTATGCACAAAAGTATCCATATATGTGTGTTGACTTAAAATGCACTCGGTGGTATTATTGTAGCAGAATTGTTGTTGTTCGTGCTGTTGGTCTTTAATGGAAAGTAAAATTTCATAGCAAATGCAAAAGTATGAAATTCAAAGCACACTCAAACACATAAATAAGTTTATTCTCGTATGTGCGAACTTCAAATTACATGAACATAAGCAACTCTTAAATATGTCATATAATTGAATATTTTTGTAGATATCTACATTTGTACTTGTATATACATATATACATGTGTGTAAGTAGGTTAGCGATAAATGACGCATGCAACATGACAACTGCTCTCTGGTGGCCAGCCACTGCATTTGATTGCTGCTCTGCCAATATGTCGCAAGCATTGTGATTTGAACCACAAGTTATTCTACGTATTATTTGCACTTATGCACTACTTGTAAGTTCACCCATAAGTACATACATATGGTTATAAGTGCATAAGTGCAATGCTGTTGTAAATTGTTTAGAAATAATCCAGTGACTTTTGCTGGCATATGTCGTTTCAAAATCATTATAATTAAAGATGGATTAACGTTAAGAGCAAAGCAGAGTCTGAGTAATTCTTTTCGAATTCGAGTTTCGAAAAATATTTAAAAGTTATTTTTATTTTTGTAATTGTAATAATTTGCTGTTTGTCAATAGATAATCCACCATTTAAAAGGTTCTGAAAAGGATAACGAAATACTGACTCATGACACTATGAACCGGTGCCACATTATTATTAAATTCTTTCAAGAGTCAAAAAAATTCGTGGAAGATATCTCGAGCAAGAGCAGGATAATATTTTTAAGTCAATTTTTGTCGATGGAAAAATGCCTTGGTGGTTCATTCTTATCTTAATATTCCTCAAATAGCATTGTTGATTTGATGCCATTCAAAGAACTACCTCAGTTCAACTCATTCAATTCCTCAAAAGTGAGCAAAACACAAAGTAGGTGTGTGTTGATACCCTGAACAAGACATATGAAGTTTGCCACGAAGTTTATAACATTCAGTAGAAAAATTCGAAAGCCCTATAAAATATATACATAAATACTTAAATGATCAGCGTGACGAGCTGAGTCAATTTAGCCGTATCCGTCTTTATATATTCAAAAATTCTGTTTTTGAAATATCGACCAGAAATTTCGCACACGTCTTTTTCTCACCAAGAGGCTGCTCCTTTGTTGGAACGGAATATCGGACCACTGTAGCATATAGCTGCCATACAAATGAACTGAACTTTTTCATTTGACAAGTTAGTTTCAGGAAATTTGACATGGATCATTGTCCAAGGCAACGGTGCGTCTGCAAGGTATAAATATGGCAAAGGCTATTATTGAAATATAAATATTAAATATAATTTGAAACTAGTTCATCTATAATTTAGGATCGTTAGGTTTCGAGTTCACGAATAATTCGGTATTGGAGACTTACAAATTTTTAGGTAAACTTATTGAAATTTTCGTTATCGATTCGTTTGTACAGATATCTTTGGCCACCTATGTCGAAATCTGTCTTTGATACTATTCTGTCAACGGACAGGTTACTATATATTAGAACACTTTTTTTGATTGTAACAATAAACAATTTCTTCATTTAAAATACAAAATAAAATAATTACCAATTTTAATTTACATGAAGACCTCAGAAGAGCTCAGCTTGATGAGATTTAAAGCATTTCTAATCTCAAATAAAGTCATTTTCATTTTTCTTTAAAGTTCATTTATTGCTTGAATAAGTAAATATTACATGCACACAGCTTAAATGAGGACATTCTGCACATCGAAACCATTGCTGCTTACGGATTTCTATTACTATTAACGTTTTGTACAAATTCCGAACTCTATATTTCAAGTAGAGTTCTTGAAAATTTAAGAGCATTTACATAGAAATCATTTGTAGCTCGTGTAAAATCTTAGCAAGAGGAAATAATAGTACCTTGTCACTAGAAAACAACGCTCCATCGAACGCCTGATTGCTAATATATTTATATTATTATGAATCCACCCAAAA